GTAAATCGATGTCAAGATAATGTGATCATAAAAAGGGGGAGATTTTTGAGTTATAGATTAACTTAATAATATTTTGATAATCGATAAAATTTTAAAATCAAATAACTTCAATAAAAAATCATAAAATTGATGAGATTTAATATTTATCTTTTCTAATTTTTTTAAAGGCTGTAGTTTTTGACATGTCTAAAGACTCTTGATGATGACTATACAATTAAATGTTATTTTTGTAACCATTATATTTCATAATTATTTACTTGACATTCTTAATTTGTAGATATTAAATAAATCTTTCTGATTATTAAATTCTTATTAGAGGTAAAAAATTGTCTCTTATAATATAAATGTAATGAGAAGTTTGTACAAAGTAAAATAGTCATTATCTTAAGCACATATTAATGCTTTAATCTTATGTTCCAATGGACTTCACTTACATATATATGTGAGTAAGTATTAAGCAACTCTTTGGATGAGGATTCAAAATATAATAAATCTCTCAAAAATGAATCTTAATTAGTATTAATTTTACAAGATTACCAAAAGTTACATATTTTCCCCAATGAAAAATTAGTCCTAAAATTTAACATATCTTAACTAAAATAAATTTTACTTGATAAAATATTTCACTAAAAATGACCTTTGAGAAAATATCTAATTATTAAATATCTACTGAAGTACAACTAATTATTTCTTGAAATAAAACCATTTATCTTGATAATGAAAGAAAAGGAGCAGCTTAGCTCAATATGCCTCACATCAAAAGGGTCACCTTGTCCAAATAAGGCAAGAGAATTCACATGAAAACTTAGACAATGAAGGCTGCTTCAAAAGTTTTTTCTTCACTACAACTTCCTCTTAAGTCTTAAAGATTAATTGGTAAGATCAATATTGATTTCAGGGAGATGAGTACAAGAAAGTGAATAGCAAGCATTTCCTCCATCAATATGATACTTATTAGATCCTTCAACAACTCATGGTGAATAAAATGATAGGTGAACGCCTTTGTAATCTCATTCAAAAATTAAATCATTGTTCCTATTGTGACTAATGAGATACAAACTTAGTGAGGTATCTAAGATGTGTTGGCGATGTAGTCACTTAGGTTGTTGAGATATTTGTGGTGTGCTTACAACAAGTTAGATCTAGGATTACTAATTTCTAAGACTCTATAAGGTGTCATAGGCTTGTGGAACTTTGTGACATAAGAAGTTTTTGATTCCAAGAGAATTGAGTGTTTATAAGTGCTAGAATAGTATACCTTGGGTGGATTTATCAAAAGTGGAAGTAACGAAAAAATGTTCAATTGACTTGCTCTAAAAACCTATCTAAATTTTTTCATGATTTATTTTTTAGTTATACCTAATTATAAAAAATAGGAATCAATTGACTCTCCATCTTGATTCATTTAAATATCTATCTAGGGACAAGTAATTGACATTAGAGCCTAGTTCAAAATACATGAAGTAACTATCATGGAGGAGTAGATCCTAATGCGTAACACTTCAGAAAGTTCATTACATATTTAAAAATTTATTACTTGATAACATAAATTATAAACATTGAAAAATTTATATGGGAATAATTATTCAAGTTTTAAAATATGAAATCAGCTCTTGATTGTGTTGTGTACTTTACAACCTTGTAGAGCCTTTTGTTTAGTGAAAACAGTTTACAATTACTGATGTTGATTTATATATTGTCTTCTTGTTCATCAGGTGCACCACATTTACAAGACTTTGCACAAATCTAGTGAGAATATTGACTACTAATTTACTATGATCATGGATATTGATGACTCTTGCTAAACTCTACTTAACGTTTTAGGAGAAATGGGTGACATCTAATAAGTATTCTTTCAACTTAACATTAATTTTCATCTATTTTCTTATTGACAAGTGGAAAGTTTATCAAAAGGCTTCCAATATGTATGAAGATAGTAATAGAATTAGTCAATAAATATCATGTCCTAATTTACTATATGATAAGTTTCATAACTTCACTATATGACTTATGAAGAGATGCACCACCTTTGTTGTAAAATTATTTGTTTTAACGAGTATGGGCATCATATTCTTTGCAAATAATCAACAATAATAAATATCATTATAATATGATAATGAAGTCTATTGAAATAAATGGAAAAGATTAAATGATTGAAAATGAGTGTAGGCTTTAAGATCTTTATCTATGATGGGTTATATGAAGCTAGACAATAATATCATTATGCACTCTTAGTAGACATTGTTATAGTTATTTCGTAGGCTACTTATATAATTATTATGTATAGGCATAAATGATCTCATTTTCCACCCAAAGGAATTACATCATGACCACAACTAACTAAAACATTATGTGTGACATAGATATCATCTAGGATCATATCATATATTGTTGACCATGATAGGATCATTGCCTATGTTTCTTTGGGATTGAAGGCATCTACCACAGTGTTGACATTTATTGACTTGTATTATATTTGAAAATTGTACTTTACTATCTTGCCACTATGTTTACTTTAGCATGAGCTTCTTGTACATTTCAAAGCAACTATGGCTACACTATTTATTTAAATCACAAATTTTCATCTAATATATATTGGTGATAGACTCATCAGCAATGGAACATTTGCATCATCTCTTTCTCATGTACAGTTTTATATCACTTAATTGTCAACTATCATAATTAATTGTGTACCACCAACATTAAGAAGCTACTGATTGACACTTAGAATAGTTGTCTACAATCAAATAGCCATAAGTTAGACTTGTAGGTCATGGCCCACTTGAGAATATTAAATACATGTTGTCACTTAGCAATTGATGCCCTAAATTTTTTTCTCAATGAGGGTGTATACACTTTAGTAGACATAAATAAACTTTTGATAGTTATTTGGCAGCAAGAGAACTAATTTTTGAACTTTGTTGGGTCCATTCGTATGTCTCTCATTATCACTTTGTAACCAAAGAACTCTATTTCCTCAAGTGCAAACTTATACTTTTTTAGCTCGAGAAATAATTCATGCTCCCATAACTTGGAGAGCACCACTTAGATATGCTTCATTTTCTCTTTGAAACTCTAGGTGTTAACCAAAAGAAATTTTTTATTGTGTTAATTAAATACCATACTAATTAGGTTGCATAAGATCATTAACACATTAGTGAGGCTTAAGAATGTCATGGTAAACTTGTATGATATAAACTAAATTATTTATGCCATATTCTGCTAGTCTCTATCTTTGGTATGAACATAGTGGGGCCAATTCATAGTTTTGTTGGTGAGGAGTATTATTTCTCTCTGAACTGGTCAAACATTTACACTCAATTAAGCACTAGATACTTTTTCTTCACAATCACATTATTCAATGCTCATCTATACAAAGCCATCGAGACTGCCATTCTTCTTGTAAAGAGAATGGGAATGTCAAAGGTAATATTTTTAATCATACACGTGTCTTGGTTCACAAAAATTTCCTAGTTATTTGTGTAACTTACCCAAGTATATTGGTAAATATCTTGTCAAATGTGTGCCTAACACAAGTTTGATGTTGTGGTGCACCTCATGAAAAGGAGAAAGTCAGAGTAAAATGACCATGGACATGAAAGCTCCCTTGTTGCACTAGTCTTCATTAGTATGCTTCTTGGCACTACATGGATACTTGTGTCTATTGCTATGAAGTGTTTATTTATCAACCTAGGCAATCTATATTGTGGAATCTTGTTGGCATATTTGTGCTCTCTAGAGTGTATGTGCTCATAGACCTTTGTTCCAACATCTTACTCTTTTTGTCTTTCTTCCCTCTCTTAGTGTCATGAAGAAGGTGTCATCAACCTTCCTAATATTATCTCATAGCTATAGTGGTAACATCAGTTGTAGCCCTTGTTGTGCGCCTTTTGTCAGTGGCATGATGCAAGGCCACAATCCAACTGTAAAAAGAATTAAATTTCAAATGGGGAAAGACTCTTTCTTGAGTTGTGATTAGGAAGTTCATTCATAAAATGATAACAAAGTTGTTTATCAATTAGATCATGAAGTTGTACAATTCAATTTGGAGTTGAGTTTCACACACAATATTTGTTGACAACTTTGATTGAGTTGTCAACTTATGAAAATGACAAGTTCAAGTAATACATTTCTTTATGGGCCACTTCTCTACCAATCACTATAGAAACATGTTGATTGTTATCATGGCCTCTATTTATATCAGTCAATACTCCCTTTTGCAGTTGGTTCCTACACATTGCTATAGTGCCAATAGTTGCATTGAGTTCAATTTTGGAATGTCTCTTCCCACTAGTACGCTATTCACTATTGAGTGAATCACTCTCTATGTGTGAAGGATAATCATTGTGTGACAATAGTCTGGGACACATGAAGTAGCTCTAGCTTAGTAGGCTTCTTGGCTGATAAGTAGTGACTATCATGGGCCTTCCTTGGGTTTTTTCATGTAGTTTCTTATGATTGCCTCCATGGTGGCCTTGTTTTGTCATTGCAGTCTACTCTATAGTCACACAACACTGTAGTTTTATCTTATCTCAGGAGTTGGTGTCAGACTTAGCGATGTTGGTGGTTATTTTAGCTTACTAGTGCATTGCCTACCATCCTAATGGACTACACATCTTTTAATCATCGTCAGCTCAACTCCCCATGCACGTGATTATTATGTAAAAGAAGTCCTAAAGTTGGAGAGCTTGCTGCCATCAAACAAATTATTGAAGTCAAAACAACTCTATATTGCAGGGCGAGTCTCAAAGTTTCTACTCAACCTTACTCCTTACTCCGCTCTCTACCTTCGTCCTCTTCTTTTCGAAGATGAGGGTACTTTTATCTGGTGAATTGTTCACCTGCCTAAATCATTATGAAACCATTCTACCAAGATCTCGTAGATGCTACATGGGTCCCAAAGTCACATGTTGTTCAGTCGGAGGCCTTGCTGGTATCCCGTGCGACAATGGTGTAACAATGGGATGGTATGGGTGGAGTGGCTGATGTAGGAACAACTATCAGTAGTGACGCCTGCTGTCCGCTGGCAGCGATGGGAAGGGAACAGCGGCGGAGTCACGTTGACAGGAGAGGCATACGGTGAGGGTGGTGGGCGGCGCCGCCATACCCATGTAGAGCTGCGTTGGAGAGGACATGAACAATCGGAGCTGCTGCACCTCCCTGAGCAGCCGCTGGTTCTCCTCCGTCAGCTTCTCGCAGCGCCTCTTCAGGAAATCGCATGCCAACTCAGTCTGCTTCAGCTTGGTCCTAAGAGAGAGAGAGAGAGGGTTAAGGGTCTCTCCTCCAGAGTTAAAAGTTTACGATATGGATTCCTTCGTTTACGAACCTCGCTCGCCGGTTTTGGAACCAGACCTCCACCTGCCGCGGTCGCAGGCTGAGTCGCTTTGCCAGGGCCGCCTTATGCATCTGCTCCCCGAAAAAACCCAGACGAATTAGATGAAAACGGAAGAAGGCCACTTGAAGCGCTTCCTGCTTTCGGGGAGCAACTTACTGGGCTGAGTGCTTGATGAACCCTAAATGTCTCCTCGAGGACGGCCGACTGCTCCTTGGAGAGCCGGAGCTTCTTCTTGGTACCTTCATTGCCGTCCTCCTCGTCGCTGATGATCCCCTCCCCCGGGGAGTCCGTCCCGTTCTCGCTCTTCCTGTTGTCGCCGATGACGACGCTCGAGACGATGCTCTGTGGGGAAGCGCCGCCGGCAATCTCCTCCTCCGCCTCCGCCGGAGGCGGCTCACAGTTCATGTCGATGCCCTCGCAAACGGGCCTCGTCGCCGGCCATCGCCGCTCTGCGCCTCCGCAACGGGTTTCAGCAAGACGCCATTATAATGACCCGAAAAGAGAAGGGCGGAAATCGCCGGCGGCGCTACCTGATGAGGCGGCGTCGAGGAAATCGCGCTCCCGGGGCTTCGCCGCATTCCCCAGGGTAAACCCTAGCTCCACGCCTTCCACGACCATCGCCGCCGCTGTCTCCGGCCACCGCCTCTTGAAAAAGGGGTGATGACGATGACGACGGCCTTTGAGTTTATACCCAGCTTCTCTCCAATCATTGTACCATCTACTTGCACACACCGCGACCGCCGCCTCGCCGGTCACGTGCCTAGCGTGTTTTACGCTCAGGGTGGGCCCCCTTGCCCATCCCTTGTCCGAGAACATAATTTTCAAATAACCGCCTCTTCTTCATTTAATTTACCAATATACCTCTTGCTGATGCAGGCCTTCCTCCAGGTGATGACGTTATCAACGCATGTGAAAACTTGGGAGAGTTCTAACTCTTTGGTAAGTTACCTTCCGGGTCCGGCGGGCTGACCGCAGAGCCCCGCCCGTGACGCGGAGGCCACCGTACCGCCTAGTGGTAGTCTGTTCTCCTGCGCCAGCCCCATGTAGAGCCGACGTGGTGGTCAGAAATGCCAGCGAAGCCTAAAGGTTGCACCCGTGTCACGACCTACCAACGCAGCCCTACCACTGACGTGGAATTAGTCAATTGGGAATCTGATCATGAACCTGGACAGATCAAGTTACTGACAGCCTGTGTTCAGAGCGGAAAAGCACCACCGTACCAGAATGTCACGTGTTCTGGCCCCATCGGGTCGGTCAGAGAGAGTGAGAGTATTATTGAAAGCCCAATGAGATCCACCGGCCCAATTGAAGACATTACTGGCCCAATGGGGCATATAAGTTGGGCTTTGGAAAGGTGGGTGGGGGATACTAGAATGCCGATTTCACGTGGGCCTAGTTGACACCAAAAATAGGCCCATGGGCCGAAAGGAAAGGCCTGGAAGTGCGGGCTTGGCCACGTAATAATTAAATGGAAGGAAAATATTCCACGTGTACTACGGTTACTTTCTTTCATCTTCTCCCATTTCACCCCGCCCTCAGAAACCCTAGCAGAGTCGAATCCCGCCATAACCACCATGAGCCATGCGCAGCGCCGTCTCCTCCTCCAGCTTCTTCGGATTCCTCGTCTCCGTCAGCCGGCGAGCCTTCTCCTCCGGCGACGGCGCCTCGGGAGTCCGGCGGCTAAAGAACGTGCCGTCGCGCCACCGCGCGGCGGCGCTGTGCCACGCGCGGAGCGTGCTGACGGAGTACCTTCACGTCACTCGCTCGTTGCAGTTCTGCCACGCCGAGAACATCGCCGCCAACTCCCCCGCTTGCCTCTCCTCGCTCCTCTCCAGGCTCCGCTTCCCCGATGATCCCTCTCAGCTCCCCGGCGCGCTCCGCCGCTTCCTCTCCTTTCGTCCGATCAACGAGTTCGACTTCTTCTTCGAGAGTATCGGCCTCCCTCCGCTGCGATCCGCCTGCGCCAGCGGCCATGGCGGAGGCTTCTTCCTCTCCGAGGACACGCGGCTCGTCTCCGCCGTCTCCGCTCTGGTCCGGTTCGGCTTCCCCTGGACGAAGCTGGGGATCCTTTACCGGGAGTGTAGCTCCATCTTCTCCGAGCATGCGGACGAGCTCGGGGATCTGCTCATCAGCTACGAGAATTTGGGATTCGACAAGGTTGCGGTGATCGGGATCTGCCTGGCCTTCCCGAGCGTCCTGGCAGTGGACGGGATCTCATCCGGCAGAGAGATTCCTGCTCTGCTCGAAGACTTGAAGCGCGTCATCTCGGATTTCCATACGGAGGGCTCCGCCGAGGAGAACGTGGAGGCCTATTTCCGGCTGTGTAGGCGGATTAGGGTTTTCTACAATTTGGGCTGCGAGAAAGGGGCCATGGGGGAGCTCCTTGCGGCGAGCAGGGATCTGTTTCTCCAGATCGATGAAGACGACTTGTCCAGGAAGGTGGATTTCTTCTGCCGGCTGGGGATGAGCGGGGATGAAGTCGGCCTGTTTGTTCTTCGGCGCCCCGAGGTCCTGCAACTTGATCTGGAGAACCCTTCTCTGAGGATGCCTGATTATCTGAAACAGATTGGTCTGTGTGAGGAGGAATTGGACTCAGTGTTCCTCAAGTATCCCTACGCCATGGGGAAGAACAGATTGGGGAACCTGCCCGGCGTCCTGAGAGCCGTGGATCTGAGTGAGTTCTTCGTCAGGAAGATCAGGAACGGGGGCCACCGCTACCTCTCGCCGGATTCCGATCTCCGCATTTCAGACGACGAGGTGGCAGAGGACAACGATTTCCAGCATGAACTGGCCAAGACGAGGCGGGTGACCAAGAGCAATCTGGTGACCAACAAGCTGGAATTTCTCCTGGGAATCGGGTTCGGGGAGAACAAGATCACGCTCAAATCCCTCCGCCAGCTGAATAGCACCAAGGCTCAGCTGAAGGAAAGGTTTGACTGCCTTCTTGAGATGGGGCTCGAATATTCAATGATCTGCAGGATGGTCAGCGCTACACCCAAATTACTGAACCAGAACGCGGACATGCTCCGCGTGAAGATCGACCACCTTCGCAACAATCTGGGCTGTTCCCTCGAGTACCTGAACAATTTCCCGGCCTATCTCTGCTTCAATCTGGAGAACAGAGTCAAACCCAGGTACAGGATCTTAAACTGGCTCAAGGAGGTTGGCCTGCTCAAGAAGACCTACTCTCCTGCCACCATCCTGGCCACCTCCGAGAAGAAGTTCATAGGTTGCCTTCTCGAGATCCACCCTGCTGCTCCCAAGCAATGGTTCGAGGTCTTCTCCAGGAATCACTCCAAAGAGCACCTGAGGAACTATGATTCTGACGGGTAATTTCTGGTTGTGGAAGGCCCATGAGACTCTCCCAGGAGATTTTCTTCTCGATTCAATCGAAAATTTCCCCAGTTTGGCCGCCTTCCAGTCAGGAAGGAGCATCTGATTCAGAGCTCCAGTTGATCTTCATCATCATCATCTGATGAATTCCCGACCGATTATTTGAAGATAACTCGATTGATTTCTTCTGCACGCATCCTGCCATCGTGAAGAGGAGAAATCCTTCCGTGGCGCGACTCCAGGTTAGTGCCATCTTCTGAAAAATTATCCAGGAGAACACTCAGCGAGATAAACAATCTCCAAAGTCAACGTTGAGTCATGATTGCCTGGGAGGATCTCATTTGTACATAAACATCTCAAAGTCAGATATCAACAGGCGGAAGCGAGTAAATCACTGCTTCCTAAGAGCGTTGACTGATGCCGAATCTGTACAAACCGGATCGGAATGATGTCATCCAGGATCTTCCCATGTTTAGCAGCTTTGCCCACTCAGATCTCCGGTGCCCCTTTGTCCGAGATAATGCCCACCGGAAATGGCCATTGGAAATATCGCAGTTGCATACCTTGACGCCTTCTTCGGAGGGCCCAGGACTAGAGAAATGGGCCCGGTTCCGTGGAATCTGGGAACCCCGTCAGTTCTTCGGATTTTTTCTTTTCCGAAATCTTTTTGGAGATGATTATTTACATGACTAATTGGGTTCACACGTTATTTTTAGCGGCGATTTCTTGCTAATTATTTAGTTCAGTGGGTCAAATCTAGGATGTAACTCATGAAAGTCCTCGTGGTTTTTTTACCAAATAAAGTATTTAATATTTAATATTTAAGATAATGATTTTAGGGCCCCGTGGGAGAACGGGCGCGTTACGTTTGGCGCGAAGTCTGCGTCGGTTGAAAGTTACCAAAATGTCCCTATCTAGGGACCCATTTTACGGTTGTGCTTGGAAGATGTCACGTGGACCCCGGGGTTTGGGAGATATTGTAGTTTTTGACACGTGAAACATATCCATTTGACTCGGCGGTTACAACTCATTCGCTCGTGTGAAGTGGTATCACACGTGCGAGGCTACCCCAAGGCTCCCTCGTAAGGCCTAATCCGAGATGGATAAGGGGGGCAGAGGAGTTCGGGTCCGGACCCGACAAGGCTGCCGTAACGCCGGCATCTACTAGGAATATGCGCCACGTGGACGGTCCTCCGTCTCCCATCAACACTCCGCCGCTCTAAAAATGGTACGGATTCCTGCGACTGCCGCCACTCTCTCTGTGTGTCTCTCTCTCCTCCCCGCGATCTTCTTCTATCCTTCCATTTCTATTGCCATACTGCGCCTTCTCTGCGTTGTGACCGGCGGAGCTTCAATCCCCCTCCGCTTCTTCTGGTCCCTCTGGGAGCGGGATCCCCAACTCTGCCGCAGGAAGGGGAAGGGGGGACAGTTCACCTTCTGGATCTGTCGCTTTCCCTCGCCGAAGGGGTCGGCGTGCGATCGGGAGATGGGCCAGTGGCCATTGGAGGTGCTAGGGACTGTTCGATTGTGAGGCGTGGTGGCCGGCAGGGATTGGAGGGGCCTGTGGAGAACGGGGAGCTATACTGCGGACGGGATGACGCGTAGGTGCTCCCATTGCAGCCACAACGGGCATAACTCGAGGACGTGCCCTAATCGTGGGGTGAAGCTGTTCGGAGTGCGGCTCACCGATGGATCCATTCGGAAGAGCGCCAGTATGGGGAATCTCAGCCATTACGCCGGATCTAACGGAGGGGGAGGTGGATCGTCGCCGGCGATCGATGGCCACGAGGTAGGAGGTGGGGCTGCAGCCGAAGGATACGCGTCAGAGGACTTCGTGCCGGGATCGTCTTCTGGCTGCCGTGAGCGCAAGAAAGGTAGAGTCTCCTTTCATCGTATCATTTGGATCTTATTTTATAGTCTCGTCTTCTACTCTAATTTGTTGACTTTGAATTTTAGTAAATTCGGATTCATTTTTCGAGGACCATTGTTCATTTCTTGTCGTGAATTCTGGCTTCCTTTCATGACTAAATGGCCATGGATTTGGTGTTTTCCGACCTTGTTGATATTTCGTGTATTATTTATGGATAAAACTAGATGGAATGTTGAACACGCAACTGGCTATCGTCGCTAAATGTATGGCCATCTGTGAAAGCCGTTGAAATTTATGAACACGCTAACCATGCCATTAATTATGGTGCTGTTTATTTTCGTATTTTCTTCTCAATTATGCAAATCTCTTTTCCGATTAAATCGTGACACTTGATAGTCTTAACTTCTCTGAGATCTTGATTTGCGGCGCTTATTATCACTGCATCAGAAATGTATACTTATACATTGAAATCTGTCGGAGTATAAAGCATAGAAATATTCAGTTGTATCCTCGTGCTTCTTTGGACTAAGACTGTGCAGGCGTTGGTATTCAGATACACACAACATAAAGGTGTCCTTGAATTTTGGCAAATATGTCGAATATTCTTGAAGGTGTTTCCATTCATCTCCTGCGGATGACAGTGCTTCCATTGTTGTACCATGGAAACCAGGCCCTTGAAAGGCACCCCACTTTGGGTAGCTGGATTTGCTGTGGCATCTAGTGGAAGCGTATGCTACTCTTGGATGGTTCATTCTCCAGTTTAATATCGTGGTGTTTTTGGATAAGGATTTGATATATATATATATATATATACTGTCTTACTGTTTTAGATTTCAAGGATCATAAAATGTGCTCTTACACCTGGAAAATTCAAGAAAAGATTAATTAATTATGTTTTGTGTCCAGTCATGTATGAACTATTTTCCTGTGAATCACCTTGGGTTGTGTTTGTTTTCTCTCTTAATGGCAGGGACATCAAGATTAGGCCATATCGAGATTTATGTTCTGTGTTAAGCCTTTGAAATATCTCTTTTTTGTTTGCGTGTTGGTTTAGTATTACTATAACTACTATTATTTATCAACTGCAGATACAATTTATAATCATTATTCTTCTTAGAGATCCCGTGCTCGGCTCTGTCTATGACCATATTTTGTTGGTTAGATATTGATATTGAATAAATGACAGTTGTGAGCATATTTGCACAGCCCACGGAGTTTAATGAGCAGGAGAGTGAGAATGAAACCTGCACACATCATGCTAGACAAGGTTTCCTTTTTTTTTTTTAATGAAAACTCACCTAAAAACTATAGTTGGTCACTAATATATTTCTTGAGACGTACAATATATTTGGTGCTTTTTGGATACTATTTTGATTATTTTAAAGTTCCATGTCCCCTGGTTTGATTGGAAACAGTTCTTGACGTTAGAATTAGAGCCTGACTTTTTTTTTGGAAAAGATCAAGATGGAGGTGATGAGGTTTTGAGACATTGGGTGTTCTGCCCTCGAGATTTTTTTATGTCTAGATTCTGCCGAGGTCGTTATGTGTATGTAAACCAACTCTGTTTTGTGCATGGTCAGACATGCTCATGGAGGATCCGGATAACAGTCTACTCTCTCAGTTTTCCTAGTACAGATAAGGTTCTTGAGTGATTTTCTTTTTTTTAAAATATTTTTTTCTCCCTACAGCGGGTTTTGGAAATGGTTCCTGAATACATCCTGGACAATTATTTATCAAAATGCTCGTTTTTTGATTGAGACGTCAAAAATTGGTTGGAATCCAGCTCAAGATGATCAAATTATCGTGACAAAATATTCTCAACTGTCTTTACGCTTGAGGGAGTTTCAGATCTGATGGATCTCCCTGGAGATCTTTACCTCCCACGTTGTGAAATTATCAATTTTCCGATCATGGGCACATCAGAAGTACTTAATCACTGAGATCAAATGGTCTTATGATTATTGCTCCTTTTTTTCATTAGCAAGTATTTCATGCGTTGACTGTGGACAGGCATTCCATGGACCGAGGATGAGCACAGGATGTTCCTTCTGGGCCTGAAAAAGCTTGGCAAGGGCGACTGGAGGGGAATATCTCGCAACTTCGTGGTCTCTCGGACGCCCACGCAGGTGGCCAGCCATGCTCAGAAGTACTTCATCCGCCAGACAAACGCCTCCAGGCGGAAGCGGCGATCCAGCCTCTTTGACATCATCCCTGACGAGGTAAGCCCCCAAAGTCTCCTCCTCTTCTTCTTTTTCTTCTTTTTCTTCTCTTGATTTCCGCTTCCTGATTATGCCCCCCTTTCAAATGATAATCATATTGTTGGAATCATTTGAATATATTTCCCATGTCCCCATTTTATATCTGCCCATCATATGATGAGATCAGATGTCGAACTTCTGACTTTAGGTTGAATGAATCAGCCCAGATTCAGCGCAGCGTGGTGAATTAGACCTTGTGTGTTTCCAGCAGGTTGAGTCGTCTCAGCTCCTCGCCGCCAGCTGCCGGGAAGCAGAGAACCAGGTGGACGATGCTCCACCGGAGGCGGTGCCCATCGACGAGGAATGTGAGTCCATGGGCTCCACCAATTCCACCGAGGCCGGGCCGAGCCTGCCGAAGCCTGAGGATCCTCTATGCCATCCTGTCATGGTCCCTGCCTATTTCTCACCCTTCTTCCAGCTCTCCTACCCGGTCTGGCCGGCGGGCTACGGTGGCGCCGCCGCTACCGCCATTGGCACGGAGCCCCATGAGATCGTCAAGCCCACCGCCGTCCACTCCAAGTCCCCCATCAACGTGGAGGAGCTCGTGGGCATCTCAAAGCTCACACTCAGCGAGGCAGCGGCACCCTCGCCGCTCTCCCTGAAGCTCGCTGGCGGCCCCGACCGGCAGTCGGCCTTCCACGCCAACAGCTCAGCTGCTGCCACAGCCGGCGCTGGCGGCTCTGACGTGGGCTCCGCCACCAACCCAAATCCCATCCATGCGCTCTAGATGCAGAGGAAGATTGGACGATCCACCCCCCACCATGGCCCTTCCAATGCAGGATGAATAAGCTGCAGCTATGCCTCCGGTCAGTCTTATATGGTCTGTCTAGTTTTGTATTTATACACTGGACCCGCCATTTATTCCTTTTTTTTTTTTTTTGGCATGAAAGTTAATGTTCTTGTTCATGTTTACTAAGATTGGGGCACCCACCCTGGGCTGGTATTTTTTCTTTTTTTAGCAAAAAATGTATCTTGATCTGTGTAAATATGCCGGATGAGGTCCACGCTTGTTTGTGTTCCTGCTAATTAGGCCCAAAAATAGAAAAAAGCCCGTTCCAGCCTTACTTGGGCTGGGCTTCACGCTGGGTCCACAAGGCCCGGGTTCGAGTTCAGAAATATTAATAAAAAATCAGTGTTGGTGATCGCAAACTGTAATATTTATTTATTATAGAAATAAATGTTGCTAATAAATATTAGAAAAAAGTCGTATAAGACGCGAAATTTTATGAAAAATACGGAATATGTGATTCAATTTAATATTTTATCATTGGCCCTGCCCAATAAATATTTAAATATTGAAATCAAACTGGGGATTGAAAGGATTTGAGGCTCGATCGGTGACGTCATCGATGGGGGAGATCGACGGTTGGACGTCTCCACCTCGCGGCGGCACATCTGCAGCGCATCGGAGGACACTTCTCCGTCTCTCCCTCGTCACTGTCAGTGCGCAACTGCGCCGGGGTCAGCGCCGCCGGTTGCCGATCTCCCGCCGCCGCCGTCGCCGCTGTAGCCGCAGGGGGAGGTCCTGCAGCCATGGTGAAGGCCATCGTCGTCCACGAGTTCGGCGGCCCCGAGGTAAGTGGAAAGACGGATGTGCATGCCGTTGCGCGATCTTTTTCGCCCTATATCTGCTGTCGTTTTTTTTCTATTATGACTCCCTTGTTTTCGAGGTGCGCGATGATTTTGGTGCATTAGCAGACTGTACTCAGTGTGGTAATCTGTTCTACTTCTAGGTTGCCGTGCTCTGATTTCAGTATTTTCCTCCATGTGTTGCTTGAGAATGTTCTCGATGCAATCGATCGTGGGATATCTGATCTGGAGTTTGTGATTTGGTGAGATTGTGTTTTTGTTCGCGATGAGTTTGTGATAAATGTTTGTAAGTTTGAGAAGACTGTGAATCAAGGAAGAAAAAATTGTGAAAGAGAGTTGCTTATTCCTTTCACGGAAGAACATATGACTGGTAAACTTTATCCTTCGTCAATACCGCTTGATGGGAGTAGAGAAGCTCTCCACAATCCAGAACCCAGACCCTCTCTCTTTTCTATTGAATAGTGATAGTGAATCTGCATAAAAGCTGAAAGTTTCGAATTCTTTGCGAGACCAGCCGCTTTACTTTTCGCGCGCGCGTTAATTTCTTTGTCCAGCATCTAGCACATCCGGATTGCGGATGAGTAAAACAATCTCCACCAAGATAGGATCTCGTTCAATAATATGATGTTTTTATCCTTTCCTACGTTAAAACATGAGGAAATCGGAGTTACATCTCCCCACTATAGATAAAAATCAAGTGGGGAACTGCTTTATTCTTCTATATATACTATTCCGGAAATGTTTTGATCGCCAGTCTTCACCCTTACCCATGCAAACACTTACACCTGAGATGAAAATTGGCCTCTAATTCTTCTTGGTTGTTAAAAATCCAGAGAGGAAGTCCTTTTCACATGCTATTTGGAATCAGCACCTCTAGGTCGAGTTTAGTGGTGGGATTCCCTTCCCTCTGGATTTGCTCGATCTGGAGTCCAAAAGTCATAGAGTCAGCTCATTGGGCGATGATTAGTTCCATTTAACCATGATCAAGTACTCTTTCTTTGTTGATGTTTTTGAAAAGCAGTTGTCTTATTTAGTTTTTCCCATGTGTTATTAGTGCTGGTAAAAAAAAATTCTCTTATGTTGAGAAAGTTGACAAATGTCTACTACTAAAAGATAAAATTTATTTTGGTGGAGGTATGTTCGAATCAGTGGCTCCCATGATGCTAGTCTTAGATGTTGAGAGTATAGCTAATGAATGCTTACGGTGTACCAGAAACTGTTGAGGGCACAAGTTAACTTTTAATCATTTTCAATCTTATTTTAGCTCCTATGTTATTTATTATTTCAAACTTGATATTTTGGCAAATTGAAGTTGGCTATTCTTCAAGATGACTGATGTTATGGATCTTCCGGTGCTCTTATCAAGCTTGCCTTGGGTGGAGACATGATGACCAGATCTGCCTTGGTTCTGTTGAAATGTGGGAATGGCTTGGGTCAAAAATATCCCCCCATAGGAGGCGAGTTGCAGATGAATATTGGATGTTTGGGATTTTTCTGTAGATCCTGGTCTAGTGATTCCTTTTAAGCTTCAGATAAGAGTTGAGAGATCAGTATAATCGTATACCATTTTTTCTTCATTACTCGCGGATGTTGAGGGATTGTACTATTGGAGGAACCTGTCTGCAGAATATGTTGGAGGCTGAAGCTGCCTGCTCCGCAATATGCAAAGAGAGATTGGGCAGTTGACTCCTGGCCAACAAAATCATGTGAGATGCCAGAATAGATTTGGCTTCGCTGTTTTAGAAGGGTCTAAAGTGTAATAATGTCTGCATCAGCTTGTCAATGGTTTGAATCCTTTGAGACAGAGATGGGGTGTGAATTTTTATCAGTAGTTGGCTGATCGCTTTCTTGTGTGGAGGTCTGCATCCTCTTGTAAATGGCTTGAAATTTCAGTTCTTCATGGAATTCTCATTATAGGTTCAGTTTTGAGTATTTTTAAGCGTTCTCTTTCATCTAATATTTTTTTCCATAGTTTATAAACAAACTATGCACCTAGAAGTCAAAGGTAGATATAATGCAGGAGAAGAATTATAGTCATCGGTCGCTTCTACTGGAAAATGAATATTCCTTTCTGGGATGGTTTGTTTTTCATGGTCTGTTAGCTATGTCTATATGCAAGCCTAACTGTTGAACAAAGGTTTTAGAAGAATAACAACTGGAAATTAACAAGGGGGTTTAACTTGGAATTGTTTATGTGATCAATATTTTTGACATTCTGGTTAATTGTATGATGAACGATTACAATTTTGCTTAAATGCAAGCATAAAAGGATTGGGGATGAAACTCTGCAACAAAGGATCATGTGAGTTCACAAAGTATCGAAGTCGTAATGTGAATCAAACCCTTAGGAAGAATTATAGATAATGTGCAGATGTGGCGGCTTTTATCAGGCAAGACTTGCTCTTTCACCTATTTATTACGATATGTGCAGATGTAAACATGGCTGTGGCTTGACTTGGGTCTATAAAGTTTGTGCTTTGTCTTCCTCACATGTAAACTAGTTTTTGATATTTCAGTGAGAAGAAATTAATCTATTTGTTGCAATGAACTCTAACATATGTCTGCAGGTTTTGAAGTGGGTGGATGTAGAAGTTGGAGAGCCCAAGGATGGTGAGATTCGTGTGAAGAACAAAGCAATTGGCCTCAACTTTATTGATGTATACAACCGCAAAGGTTTCTACAAAAGCGATTTGCCATTCATTCCAGGTGGGAATACATCGCACCAGGTCTTCTTTTCCCTTTCCAGCACATAAAATAGATGAGGCTTGTTTGAATCCTTTCTTGGTGGTTTCTTGTAAAATAAAAAGCACGATTAGAAGGTAAATAGCGCTCAAGAAAAATAAAGAGCCCTAAGAAATGGATCTGCATATATTTTGAGTGTTTCCGTCTTCCTGGTTACAGTTCAGTTAAAACCGCTGAACCATCTACCTTGAACCTATATATCTACTCCTAGTCGTTAACTATTTTCAATTCCATTTTTGGGTTAGATCCTGTCTCCCCTGTGGTTATCAGTTCATCAACTCTGAGAAGCCCATTGCATCTGACCATGGAGTTATGGTTATCCTTTCAAGCCTGAATTAGAGGAGCTGCAGAAGAATAAATTTTCTTCTCGTTTTTGACATACATCTGAAATAATGCAAGCTACAAGATTAAGTAGCAAGACCTCTAAACCGTACACATACAAGATGGAAACCCGTATTAGCAAAATATATCCTTCGGCTTGAATCCACTTCCTATTTCGGACATGCTTGTTTTCAACATCCATCGTTGACTTTTTCCTGCCTCTCGTCTTGGACAGGCAGAGAAGCTGTCGGAGTTGTCACAGCTGTTGGGCCAGGGCTGACTGGCAGGAGAGTGGGTGACATGGTTGCCTATGCTGGTAATCCGATGGGTTCCTACGCCGAGGAACAAATCCTTGCGGCAAATGTTGTAGTGCCTGTTCCGCAATCTATTGACCCGATTGTGGCAGCTTCCATCATGCTTAAAGGCATGACCGCTCAGTTTCTGCTCCGGAGATGCTTCAAGGTCTGCTTCAGAGCATTGGCCCACATCAAGCATATATCTTATGAGACGGTTTACTAATGTTCATAGTGATGATGTAGTAAGTTTTCAATGGTTCTCAGGTCGAGCCCGGCCATACGATCCTTGTTCATGCTGCAGCGGGGGGTGTTGGATCGCTACTCTGTCAGTGGGCTAACGCCCTCGGGGCGACTGTCATCGGCACGGTGTCCACTGAGGAGAAGGCTGCCCAAGCGGCTGAGGACGGGTGCCACCATGTCATCATCTACACTAAGGAGGACTTTGTGGCTAGTGTGGAGAAGATAACCTCAGGGAAAGGAGTCAACGTGGTGTATGATTCTGTGGGCAAGGACACATTCAAGGTACTCTCTCTCTCTCTTCCTAGGAACTCTTCAGAGAGGAAGCCCATTAGAGAGGATCCATAATTACAAAGAAATTGCTCGATGATTGCTCCGAATAGGCAATTCTTCGTCTCTTTCTTTTGTGATTACTTCATTACTTGGTGCTCTCTTTCTCTCTCTCTCTCTCTTTTCTAGGAACTGATGCAATCCTTTAGCGACAATCAGAAAAGGAAGCCCATCCAGGAGGAGTCATAAGTTGCTTGATGATTGCTCCGAATGGGCGATTCATCGTCTCTCTCTGTTGTGATTACTTCATTATTCGGTGCATTCATTCAGTTGAGTTGACTCCTCTCCTCCAGGGATCGCTCCAGTGCCTGGCCCAGAGAGGCTACATGATCTCCTTCGGGCAGTCCTCGGGGCTCCCCGACCCGGTCCTCCTCTCTGACCTCGCCCCGAAGTCCCTCTTCCTGACGCGGCCCGCGCTATTCCACTACAACGCTACTCGGGACGAGCTGCTGGAGTCAGCGGGGGAGGTCTTCGCCTGCGTCAACTCTGGTTTGCTGCGCGTCCGGGTCAACCACACCTACCCACTCTCAGAGGCGGCGAGGGCCCACGCTGACTTGGAGGCCAGGAAGACTTCTGGTTCTGTTGTCCTCATCCCATAGGCAAAACGCCTGTTAAACCCTGGACATTAAACCCCACCCTGGACATTTCTCAATGGGTTTGAATGACGGTGGATCATGTTAGTTTAGTTGCCATGTTTATGCTGCCTTGATTAGGGTTAAGAAGGGTACAAGGGGTTCTTGCCATGAGAGAGGATCTGCCATCTCTTGTGCAGGGAAACCCAGGTATATATATTCTATTACCAAGGGGTTTGACTTGCTGATAACCTTATAATCTGGGCGGCGCAGTTGATGTATGATATACATTGAATAACGGGGTTTGGTGGGCTAATTTTTTCTTAGAAACAAGAGGCGTTCTTTTTTCATAACAAGGGGAGGTTTTGGCATCATCGAGATGTGGGTCAACGGGCCACACATCATATAAGATTCTTTATATGATGTGGGTTTGTCTTGCTTGCTGAGAATCTTATAATGTGGATGCACAGGGAGTGAATATTATCACTGAATTGCGGGCCTCCTAGGTAAGTTTTTTCATAAGAATAAATGAAATCTTTTTTTATAACACGGAGTGGTTTTGTCATCAGCAAGATCATCACGAAGGGATGGGTAACTTAGGAGAGAGAGAGAGAGAGAGAGAGAGAGAGAGAGATTAGGGCATCAATCAAAATAAGCAACGACAAAATCATGTTATCCCATCTCCCTAGTGCCGGCCAACTAAGAATTGGGCCATTTGATACTGTCCTGGTCCTTCGGCCCGGAGTGAACGGGGCTCTTCTGCCCCCATTAGCTCTCGTCCCATCACCCTAATCCTTCATCTTCATCCGAAACCTCCCTTCTCGGGCTCAGTCTAAGAGGAAGAGGGCCAGGCCATCCCCTCTCCCACAAGAGCACAACTTTCTGCCCTGATGGGGAGACTGGAAATCGTCGGCCACCGCGCTCTCTCTCTCTCTCTCTCTCTCTCTCTCTCCTCTGTATATCCAACGATGGTTTTGCAGATCTTTACCCCCCGTCTACGGGAATGTTCTAAGAATAAAGAGAAGGGCGAGGAAGTCTAATCAGGTTGGTCTCCAGTGGGCATTAATTTAATAGGAGCTAGGTCGCCAATATTTAGAGATTTGAACTAAATGTCAAATAGATTTCAGGATACCAAAGTGCGATGTTCTAGTCAGATTCTTCGCAAGTAAGCCTAGAACCTACCAATGCCACACTTTGGACTTTTGTGGACGAACAAACGACCAGATGATGCTCCTGGCCTTAAAAGGTCAATTTCTCTTCGTTGATTTCATCATCCTAGTTTAACTAGATATCAATGACGATTGAAAGTCCATTCATACAATTATAAGGTTCTATTTATTCTCACTATCCATGTTTAACTCTTCTTTAGTGAAGAAGTTCATCAGGCCTCTTAATAAAGTATGATTTTAGAAAGAGTATAAAATTAATTCTTCGAGAATGCCATGGATGATGGCTTGCAATTCTTTGACAATCAAAGGCAATGTTTTTGCTTCATAACCTTGTATTTATGATGATTTTTCGAAAATAAATCTGTGCAAATGAATGATTCGCACATCAATCAATACTTTTATTTTCTTGAGAACCGATTTCTTTTTTTTTGCCTTTTTTATTTTTACATAAATTTGAATGAATCAGATAGACAGTTTCGATCATTTTTGTCAGAAATTTTGACAAGAATATCATATGTGGAATATACCCATCTCATTGTCCTAGTATATTCTTGATCTATAGAGGCAACATTAAATTTTCCACTTAAGGATCACACTTTTCATTAAGAATAAAGGATGGAAGCATGCATGAGCACAATACGTCATAAATTATAATGCCATTGTTTAAACATTATTAATTCACATCCAAGTCACCATAATTTAGGCAATTTATAAATAATTAACGAGTATGTACACTATATTCAAAAGGGCAACCATACTATATGATTATTTGGGTACCATGAGAAACCGTTCAAGTCTCCACATGATTTACCATTTTTGTGACAAGAGAACAACTTCACAATGGTAAACCCTATCTGATTATACGAAACCCATTAATTTTCTTTTTTAGAAATGTTTGCACCTGGTAATTTTGTTTGCAAACCAATTACTTATCCTGTATAAGAGCACAAATGACTTTGCTGTCACACCCATTATTTTATTAGCGTCATCATCTTAGCATGATAATAATAAGATAATGCCAACATGAGATGATAGGTGTTTCTCAAATAATTAGTGTGCCTTTCTTCGTTGGTTTTTCTAAAGGTATATTGCTTCACATTATAAAGCACTATGTTTATCCATCATTTCAATTGGCATTCAAATATATGAACCAAATCCCTTGAAAAACCATAATATGTTGCTTGGTCAATAAGATGAACTATATCATGTGTGCATATTGATTATAAAAGAGATTAGCGATTATCAACACAACATGCCACCTTGTTTGATGCATGAACATACATTGTCTAATGACAATGACATATATGCACTTTTGGTGTGACAATAGCATTTGCTCAATTCATGAGAAGGAGATCATGTCGACAATGGCATGCACTCTCCTATACAAGACTAACATTGTAAAATGAAAGAATTGATAAAAAACGTTGCCATCATCGTTGACTACAGAAGGAAAAAGACTTGTACAAGTGATATTTCCACAATAAGTTTTTGGACAGAGTTGAGATCGTTGCATGGTAAAGAATTTTTGCCTTTTTTGGGAACTCTTGGCTTAAAATGTCTTCTCACATTCTCTTCCCTTGTCACAAGGAGAGAGTGACTTGAGTTTTGGAAAACCCACTTCGCAGGTTTATCTGATGGCTCTATTCATATGTTTTAGCTTCCTAAGAGTTTACCAATAAGTCACTCTTTATCTCTTTTTTTGACACGCGATGAACTAGAAGCCCTTGTGAAGGTCTCCCTTCCGGACGACCTACACTGAAAATTAACGCTAAAAAAAGTGGAGAAAGTAATCATATCGAATCTCCAGAGTTTATTTCTGAAGATTTACGGTGACGGCTGTCACTGCCTCTCTATCCTCCCCCTTTTCTCAAACCCTAATGGGCCCCACGACCAAACCCTAAGGAGCGCAAGTGGATAGGAACTCGTCGTCAGCTGAGTGGCAGGGAGGGCGCGTGAATTAACTCTGTCTCCTTCTCCTTCACTACGGTAGAAAAGCTCCAAGGGAAGATGCAACGGATTAGGGTTTTGGTAGTTTAGGACAATTAACACCGACGGCCTCACGGGTCTCGTGAACTGAGGGTTCAGTAGGCAGATTCACGGCCAGTTTCTTCGTTGGCCCGGAGAGAGGATTTGGGCAGCCATATTTGCCACAAGAATAAGGGATTCGTCCTATCAAAGAGTTTCTTTTTGTTTTTCTCATTTGCTTCTTCTTCCCTTCGCTGTGTAAGTAAAGAGCAACCGAGAGAGAGAGAGAGAGAGAGAGCCAGGTCCGGTCGCCAGGCGTTTCTCTTATCTCTCTCCATATCTCTTTCCCAGCAATAATGGCTTGGAGGAGAACGTATCTGAACCCAGAAGTGCATCTAGAGCCGAGCGGATGGCAACGGGAAGCCCTAATCCACCCTCTATATAAAGATCCCGGCGAGGATCGTCATGGGATCATTCCCCACAGGCCTGGTGCTGCTGTTGTTATCTCTCATGGAGATAGTGACCTCCGCCGACACCTTCCGCAGCGTCGTCGACCTGCTTCTGTTCCATTCCCTTGATCGCCAGGTCTACAGCCGCCTCGTCCGGGGGCTCCAGCAGGACCCACAGAACGTCAAGCGTGCAATGGGCCTCTGGTTGTGGCTCGAGTCCATTGGCCATAACGACTTCGTTCGTCACGTCAACTCCTACAGAGACGGCCTCCTCATCGGCTTCCTTAGGGAGGCGGAGATGTGCATCAGCGCCGTAATGGGGTGGCTCCCTCCCGGTTGTGATCTCAGTATTCCGCTCACAGCGTGGCTCATCGACGAGCCCATCGACGTTGGGTTCTTCCTCTTTAACAAGCAGATCGTCTTCAACGGAGTCTCCCGGATCTACGCCAGGGTCTGTGACGTGATCTTTAACGACAGCCTGATGCTGGTCATCTCCCAGGATGGGAGCGACCTGCACCACGGCGGGGTGGTGAAAGGAGGCTGCGTGATCCAGCCCTCTGAGGAGTGGATGAGCCGGCATGGCGCTACCCTGGGGCCAGTGGCTGCCGGCGTCGTTGGGAAGTGGGGGATGGTGGCGTTCACTGACCCGGAGGCGGCGACGGTTTTTGCGCGCTCGTTCAGGAAGGATGATTGCCCTTTCGACTGTGAGGCCACAGGGCCTCCCACTCTGGAGAGGCGATCCATATTCATATCTTTCTCCAGGGGCCTCCCCATCAGCGAGCGAGAAATTGTGGCCTTCTTCCATTCGTGAGTTCAGCTTCTTCTTGTTCTTCTTCTCGTTCTTGTTCTTGTTCTTCTTCCTGACGAAATATGACAGGAGATACGGGCATTGCCTCGAGAACGTGATGATCGAGCAGATGCAGGGGGAGGTTCTGCCCATGTACGGGAGGATTGTTTTCATCAACCCGCGGAAGATGGCCTCGGTAATGAACGGGAGGCGCAGCGCTAGGTTCGAGATCAATGGGAATTACCTCTGGGCTCGCATGTACGAGCCCTCCCACCGCTAGACAGGCCCAACTAGGATGCTTGGGCATCACCACCGGGATTGTAGAACCGAGTCGGATCCATCGTCTAGGGGTTGTTGTGATGTGACCGATGATCTCTAGATAAATAATAAAGTCATTTTCATGATATGATCTTCACCTGGCAGGATCTTCTCTCTCTCTCTCTCTCTCTCTCTCTCTCTTACTCTCTCATCTATATATACACATATATATCTTCATTAACTATTTTCATGTTGAAATGGATGCTGGCTGAACATTCAGAAGAACACAGGCCATCTTAGCAGGTTACCACGGCAGGTGATTCAGTCCATACCCGGGGAAACCCCCTTTGCGTCTCTGTTTCCACAGAAGAAAGGAAGGGGAAGGCCTTCAATCTGGGTGCAGAAAAAAGGTATCTAGGGTTTTTGTAGTTTCAAGGGAAGGGAGAAGCCTTCAAGGTTCATCTGGGAGATGATACTGAAAGAAGAGAACCACAAATTTAAGAGGCATAAATTGCATATTGGAGATGATAGTGAAAGCAACGGGTTAGAGGCTACAATCTTGGAGAACAAGCTAGCTCTCCATTTTTGTTCATCATCTATGATCGCTGCAGACTCCTAGTTGTACACTGATAGTAACGACACACATTCGCCGAAACAAATCCGGGAACTCAGTCTAGCACGTTCTGTCACTCTCTCACACATCCAGACACACGCTCAAACTCAATCAAACAGGCTCTCTCTTTCTCTCGCTCTGCCTCTCTGTCTCTGTCTCTGTCTGTCTGTCTCTATCTTTTTATCTCTCTACACAAACGCAAACCTGCAAACTCAACCTCCACGCTCCCCCTCGCACCAACACACAAACACCAACATGAAAACTCTCTCTTTTCTCTCTCTTCTCTCTCTCTCTATCTCTTTATCTCTCTACACAAACGCAAACCTGGAAACTCGACCTCCACACTCCCCCTCGCACCAACACACAAACACCAACATGAAAACTCTCTCTTTTCTCTCTCTTCTCTCTCTCTCTATCTCTTTATCTCTCTACACAAACGCAAACCTGGAAACTCGACCTCCACACTCCCCCTCGCACCAACACACAAACACCAACATGAAAACTCTCTCTTTTCTCTCTCTTCTCTCTCTCTCTCTCTCTCGCACACACCCGTACACAGACACAGATACACACAGACACACACACACACAGTCTACATGTACACCCACTCAACTGTACACACATTCACACTCTGAAACTCTCTTAAAAATACTAACAAAACCTTTGCGTACATCTCTTTCCACAACTGAAAGGAAGAGGGAGGCCTTCAAGCTTGGTGCAGAAAAAAGGGCTTTTAGGGCTTTTGTAGTTTCACTGGAAGAGGAAGGCCTTCAAGCATCTTGGAGAAGGTACTGAAAGAAGAGAACCAGAAGTTTAGGAGGCATACACTGAATGTTGGAGATGATGGTGAAAGAAACGGGTTAGAGGCTACAATCTAAGACAACAAGCTAGCTCTCCATTTCCAATCGTCATCTATGATCGCTGCAGACTCATTGTAAACTGATAATAAAACGACACACTCATTCACCAAAATACATCCGGGAACTCAGTCTAACAAGTTCACACGTTCTGTAACTCTCTCACACACCCAAAAATACCCTCAAACTCAATCAAACAGGCTCTCTCTCACATATGCTCTCTCTCTCCCTCTCTCTCTCTCTCTCTACACAAACACAAACCTGCAAACTCAACTTTCACACTCACCCTCGGACCAGCACACAAACACGGACATGAAAACTCTCTCTCTCTCTCTCTCTCACGCACACAGACACACACACACGTTCATGCTGTATCAAACTCTTATAAACACACTTGCATAACCTAACCTCCCCTTCGTTATCTATTTTCATGTTGAAATGGATGCTGGCTGAACATTCAGAGGAACACAGGCCATCTTAGCAGGTTACCAGGGCAGGTGATTCAGTCCACTAGAAGGGAACCCTGGTAAACCCCCTTGGCGTCCAACTCTTTCCACATAAGAAAGGAGGGGGGAGGCCTTCAAGCTGGGTGCAGAAAAAAAGTTTCTAGGGTTTTTGTAGTTTCAAGGGAGAAGGAGGCCTTCAAGGTTCATCTTGGAGAAGATACTGAAAGAAGAGAACCAGCAGTTTAGGAGGCATACATTGGATGTTGGAGCTGATGGTGAAAGAAACGGGTTGGAGGCTACAATCTAGGACAACAAGCTAGCTCTCCATTTCCATTCGTCATCTATGATGTCTGCAGACTCATTGTAAACTGATAGTAAAACGACACACTCATTCGCCGAAACACATCCGGGAACTCAGTCAAGCACGTTCTGTCACTCTCTCACACCCAGGCACACCCTCAAACTCAATCAAACAGGCTCTCTCTTTATCTCTCTACACATGCACAAACCTGCAAACTCAACCTCCACACTCCCCCTCGCACCAACACACAAACACCGACGTGAAAACTCTCTCTCTCTCTCTCTCTCTCTCTCTCTCTCTCTCATTCAAACACACACACACATTCTCCTCTACATGCACACCCACCTAACTGTAGACACATGAACACTATATCAAGCTCTCTTTAACGCGCTAGCATAACCTAACCTCCCCCACCCCCCCTCCACTACAAGCCTCCACACACACTCATATCTCTTTCTGAAGCAAATGCATACACACACAGAGACCCACGTTCTTAGTGAAACTCATCTACATGCACCCACACACACACCCCTTTACTGAATGAAATTTTCCGTTTCGCGCCCACGCGCAAACACCAGCATACACATCAACTGAAAAAGACAGACATTCTTCCTCTTAAAAGAATACCCTCACGAATGCATATTCATAGACTTTCTCTCTCTCTTTCTCTTTCTCACGCAGACACACGCCAGAAAACTGGAAGATACACGTATGCACAAAGAGCCACAAGAATCGCCTCTTGATACATACGCACCCACCACAAGAATCAGAGAAAATATATCTAACCTAACCTAGGGATCCCCACAAGAGAGCGTGGGAATTTTTCACCCATAAAATCCAAATATAAAGCTATTGATGTTAGGTACGTTGTTCGAGAATCAGCTCTTTCAAGAGTGATGTAGAGGTCCACATGCGTTGCAAAAACAAAGATATCATAGATTTACGCGAACCGAAGAAAAAATGTGAAATCACACAACCTTTATAGTTGCGGTCCCTACAAGTTTTTCATACGTGATATCTTCCTAGGATAGATTAGTTTCACCAAGTTCGTCACCCTAATCCTACGTTTGGGAATCAAGTTAAACATTAGCAGAAAAAAGTGAAACCTTATAGCTAAAAATGCCAATATTCTTTCTACTAAAGCATTTAAATACACTCAAGTGGACTGATCTTCATACTCTTGTAAGAACTGCATGGCCATTTTTTCTGGACGTAGCTCACTTCTTGTGTTGACCAAAAATGCGGACTCTACTCCTTTTTCATATGTGCCATCCAGTTGAACGTGCTGCTTCCTTTGGTACTAAGGAGAATCTGTGTCACCTGAATTCCAAATTACCAAAATGCATGTGTTGAGAAATTACCGATCTTTCTCTCATACCAAAAGGTTTCATTAATTAAGCATATCATTCAAATACTGTGAAATGCAGATGAATGCATAAGCAAACGTAAATAACCCGAATAAATCCTTCGTTAGTCTCTCTCTCTCTCTCTCTCTATCCTAATCTATATCTATGAATCTAGGTCCACTTGGAGAATCTATTTTTTACTCTCTTAGGTGTAGTGAGAACGAATGCTTTCTAAGCACTTGGTGATATCCACAAGGCTGTTATTCGTAATTACTAAGTACGAATAATTCTGAATCTTAGGGCAGCAAAGGAGAAAGAAACAAGAAAATTTTATCTGAAGGAACAAAGTAACTTTCTCATTGCGTTATCTTATTGTATACTGGTTAACAGATTACCTGAAAAAACGCAACACAGTCATTATTTGACATATGAATTATACTTGTCATGGATAGACAATTTCACTTCATGAAATTATGGTTGAATCATGATTCGGTAAACAAAAATAAAATAAAAATGCTAACGTGAACAGGATTAAGTGAATTATTTATTTTACATGATTTATTTTGACCAGAAAAGGGACGAAAACAGGATTAAGTGAACAAGTATGAAGGGAAGGTGACAAAGTCACTATGACGTCATACCCATGACCATTCATTTTCGAGAAAGCTTCTATTTGATTTTGGAGAAGCAGGAGTAGATAAATAAATATTTTCAAACATCACACTAAACATTAATTTTTTTACATGTAGATCTCTTAGAGTTTAAGTGATCAATAACCCTAAAGAGCCAGCTATTTCAGAAGGCCTAATTTTTAAATAGAAATATCTACTTCACAGAGTCAGAGTGAGTTTTTTTCCAGGGAGAAGTTGTTGGATGTCCTTGATATATGGTGCCAAAGTAATATAAAAGTGAAGGTATGAGTGAAAGATCCATCTCAAAGTACACTTTTTTATTAATATTATTATTCACCAAATAAAAAATTCAACATAAATCAATGTCTATTGAAAGGCACTCGAAAGTTTTGATTAATTAGTGATCAGGCTACCTTACATTGGTTATGTATTAGAAGTTTGCGGCTTGCCTCTACGGTTTACACTGTTTTCACCTTTTAAAAAAGCTTTTAGCTAAAAAAAATTATCATCTTACAACATTTCGTTTCTCTTAACCCTATTTATTCCTAAATTATGGCTCTCTCTTTTTTTATGAACTCATACTTACATTAATAACCTCTTGTATGATGATACAACAAAGAGTTCAAACCTAATTCATGTTTTCTCATTAAATTCTAGATGGATTTATTCCTGTTGTTGGGGACGTCAGAAGGGTTCTGAAACACCAACTCTCAGAGATATCCTAATGAAAGAGAGTCTAGAAGTTGGAATTAACATTCAGAAATAAGTGAATTTCCCCATTGCTTCTCATATAATCATCAATAAATTTACAGTGTACGTTTACATGCTATCGTTTGAAGTATCGAGATAAACCAAGTGGAAGCTGCTCTTAACATTGTGAACTAAGTGAATAATCACATCATTTCTAAAAATCAGCAAGAATTTTATTGTGTCTGTATGGATGAATATATATGTCTGGAAGTTAGATTATAGATACAAAAGATTCATACGAGACATACGCATAACAACTTACTGAAAAATGAGAGAAAAATGAATAAAAATGAAAGTGTAGATTGGTGGTCACTCTTTGTAGACATTGAGGGCAATGGGGGAATTTTTTTTCACATGCTCCATTTCAAATCTCGGTCCAGAGATGAGTTTGCACTTGAAAGTCACAGAGTAAAGTCTAAAGGGAGATGAATACCTATGAGTAGACTCCATTTAACATTCTCGGGAGGAGGCTGGAGAGCACCAAGGCGTAGCGTGACCTTGAGAACGTAGATATACGAGGCAACTCTGGAGACTGTTTCGAAGAAGAAATCATGGTGTGAAACGTTCTCTGCGGTTCGTCATAAACTTCCAGACAAACCCTTCCCTTCGTTTCCCAACGGACGTGTCGTATCTCTCTCTCTCTCTCTCTCTCTCTCTATCTCTCTCTATATCTCTCTCTCTATATCTCTCTCTCTTTTTCTCTCTCTCTCGCTCTCCTCCCCCCCGAATTCTGATGTGGACCTGTTGCTGACGGACAAATGGACAGGGTGCTACGGAGGGAACGGCTGGTGACAGCCTAAAGTTCCTCTACCAACTCCTTATAAATTGGGTCCTCACATAAAAAACGCTCGCCAAACCCTAGGTCTTGTCCCCGAGCAGTCTTGTCCGCCGTTGATTAGGTCATACCCTAATTTGGGAGCCGCCGCTGCAAGAGTTAGCCATGGCCAACCCAGACAACTTGTCCTCCGCAGATCCCATTCCCACCTCAGATCACGTCCCCATCTCAGACCCCATCTCAGATAGTCTGCATGTCTCAGATCCCATCCCCTCCCCAGCCACCCTGTTCATCTCTGAACCCCTATCTACTTCAGATCCCCTTCCTTCCTCAGATATCCAGTCTGAAGCCATCGAACTTGATGTCAAAGAGGGTGAAATCACCGACGACATCAAAGGGAAGCGAAAAACTGACGTTGTCACTGACGAGAGTAACTATGCAGGCGCTGCCGACAATAATAACAGCGACAACAACAGCGTCGGCGGTGGTGACCTTCCAGGCGCTGTCAACGTACTGCGCTTCCACTTCATGGAGCGGCGCCTGTTCATGCGACTGACGCGCTACTTGAAGAAGGGGGTGAACGAATCGAAGGCCATGATAGCTCTCTGGCTTTGGGCTGAGGCCGTCGGCCACAGCGGTTTTCTGCGTCATGTATGCTCTTCTTCTGACGCCATGTTGCTCAAGTTCTGCCAGGAAGCCAAGCTATGCCTGGAGGTCCTCATGGGGCTGAGGGTTATGGCTCTTGTGAGGAATTGCTCATCTGTCGAGCTGCCCATGACGTCATGGCTCATCGAGGAACCCATCGACCTGCGGTTCTTCTTTGTCCACAGGAAGACGGTAATGGACGGCGTCGCCGCCATCCACCACAGAATCTGTCAGTTGATCTTCGACGACGACATCATGATTAACATCTCTGAGGCGACGACCCACCCTGAGAACCGCCGGATTATGTCCTCCGGGCTGATCATATCTCGCCCCCTGGGCGAGAATGCGGAGAAACGGAAGAACGAGAACGAAGGAGATCCAATGGAGGTAGATCCCGGCGAAGCGCCTCCCCCGCGAGGAAACAAGAAAGCTAAGCAGAATGGAGAAGAGCCCAAGGAGGTGGCGGCAGCGGCTGCCGTTGCTGGCAAGGAAGCACGTCCTCTTGCACCTCCAGGGGCGGTGGAACCATTGGTGACGCGCTCTGTGTTCCTCACCTTCAATATGGGTCTCCCAGTCAGTGGGAAGAACGTAGCCCAGTTCTTCAACATGTCGGCTCAACCCTAATTCCTCTTGCTTAAAATCTCTCTTCTTTCCTTCTGACGCCAGTTTTTTAATCTTTCTTATGTGAGCAGGAGGTACGGGAAGTGCGTGGAGAGGGTGGATATCGAAAGGCATGTACCGGAGTACCCTCCTCTGTACGGCTACATAATATTCAAGAACGCACTGGCTATGACGACGGCGCTAAATGGGCAGCGAAGTGGCAAGTTCGTCATCAGTGAGAGAGTTGTATGGACACGCATCTGCAAGCCTCGACCGAGGAGGCCCTTGGGGGATATGGGGGAGATGAGCGTGGATGAACTTGCGGCGGCGATCGTCGCCATCAAGATGGAAAATCGTTGAGAATAGGGTTTCTCCCCCAGAGCTAAGGTTGAATTCTCTTTCCCTTTCTAATTCGAACTTTCTCTTCAGGTTTGCTTTTCAGAGGTGGTTTTTTCCGTCGAAAGCAACGTTATCAATGTTTATCTTATGTTTTTTAGTAATGGATCCGAGTTATTGTTATCATCCCCTTCTCCTTTTCTTCCTCTCTTAAGATTAGATCTCAACAGCCTTCTGCATTGGAATGTATGAAGATTGAAAGATCTCTCATGTCTTTTGAATATCTTACAGTTACCTTTATCTTTCCGCTATCGAGAACGGGGGCAATAAAAACATGATTAACATGTTTGCACAAACTTCATGTTTTGTTCAAAATTTTTAGCAACCCTTGACCATCAACGCAACGTACATCCCATAACATGTGTGCTCAGTCGTCACAGGAAGAGCGAACTGGAAACCTTCACTGATGTGTCTGGAGCTTTCAGCGGTGTTTTCTTTCATGTCCCGCGCGAATATTTCCAAACTAGATATTAATTTTTTTTACGACTCAAAATGAGATTTTCTGTGTTCTTGTTAGGTTCTAAACTGCTGAATATATATCGGCCAATCAAACAGAAGTACTTAACAATTACATTAATGCATAACCTAATGGAGACCCTAGTATAATTTCACCATGAAACTTACGTAGACGGTCATAAATCCTTATGATGGCGCTCATAACAACATTGTTTTCAATAAATCAAATACTCGTGAGGGTATATATCTTCAGTTCTTATACTCGGGTTATCATATACACACACACATATATATATATATATATATATATATATGTATGCTCTTCTACAACCGTTGTGATAGTATATGAACGAACATATGGTTCTGATATTGCTTATTATCCATGATTTCACATTTTCATCGATTCCCGTTTTCCGACCTCGTGATTCACAAAGAATAGAAGCAAGTTTCTTACGTTGGTAAGGAACATGTTGGGAAGAGGCAGCGTTTGATGTTATTATGTATGGGATTTAATACGTTCTATACTTCCCTGTATTGATGTCGCATCCAATAGTAATTTAATTCGTGATATACTTTACCCCTCTATTCAGTCAGGTGAACGTCTTTTGCAAGAGGATCATAAGCAATGTTCTTCAAACTTTTGCATCACTTGCTTTCAAATGTTCTTCAAACTAAGCAATGCGATATATTGTTCTTTAAATTATTCAATTGTTAGAAAATAAACAGTCTCCTTACCTCAAATCAAAGACCGAGCTATAAAAATTAATATAGCACTGATTTTAGTCTTGATTTTCTGAGATATTTCTCGGACATGCTTCCCCTGGAAGTTTTCTCTTTGAAGCTTGAGTTTCATGAATTGTTCTTTCATAAGTTGTTCTAGTTAGTTCATTCTATCTATTATCATGATATCATTGACACCTAATAATAAATCTCGTTGAAAATCAAGGCTTCAACTATCTTTCACTAAAATTAATGGCTTTAGTCAACGTATGTTCTCCAAAAATGCTTCTTTAAATTGGTGGACTATATGAAGTCAAATCAGATTAGTGCCCAGATAATCCCTTATAAATTTATGGCTTCAAATCAATTAGGGTAGATGAACTGCTCAATTATAGATCACAAAGAATAAAAGTTCATAGAATTTTAGCACATATCTTCTTTGAGTGTCGATACATAGGCCCAAATGTGTTGAAGCTTCTTTTGGTTTGTATATACTTTCAATGCACGAGAATGATTTGACAATGTGGTTATTTCTTTAAGGTTAGAAGGGTTAATCCTTTTAAAGGAAAATATTCTCCTCTAGTTTTATGTATAGAACGTTTGATAACTACTTTAAGGGATCGTTCCAACAGCTATCTGCAAGTCGTCTTGTGGCTAGTTTCTCTAATGATAGTAGCACTTTTCTCTTTTCTGTATCCTATAAGGTTAGAAAAAAGTCTTGCCAATAGACTAGTATATCCTTGTGTTGTCCTATTCACGGGCCTTGGAGAGTAGTGAGTCCCTTTGACTCAAGTGGCCTCTTTCTTTAAATGTTACCATGGTCACTATGATCACTAAGACTTATTATTACCGAGTTGAGTCACCTTTTTTATATGGTATCTTGGTCTCAACGAGTGTTAAGACTCTTCTAAACACTACACATAAATTTGGTATAGTAAAGTTATCATTTTACCCTGGCATATATATTGTCAAAAAAAACACTAGAAAGTCTCCAAAACTCAACAATTTTTACATTTTATCAATTTGTATAAGCATAGGCTGTTTTTTATAGCTTACGTTTTCATCTAATATGTAATCTTGAGAACCTACATTACTTTTTCATCATTAATTTCATATTTTCCTTTAATTGTTATTTGATGACATGGTTTAGGTATAACATTATCTGAATCATATCTTTCTAGTTTATTTAACTTATCAGATAAGGCTTGATTGAATTCAACTTTTTCTTTAAAAAAATAGTTCATGTATCCTTGTTGAGGTGAGCTGTTTCCTTTTTCATCCTTGTTCCAATGGCCACTAGTATAATATTTTACTCGTTCAACAAAGAGTTTCTTAGTAGCGGTTACCACGAAAATAGAGTTCAACAAATTTGAAAGTTTCAAATTAGCCCAATAATCACAACATATTTAATTCATTTTTATCTAGTAAACTTGATAAAACTTCTCAAGGTGTTTCTTAAGGAGTAGTGAGTTATATATAAGTGAATATATAGCAATCCTTCACTATGAAGTTTCTCACCTAGGCTGGAGCTTGATATTATCCATGAAATAGCAGGAGTATATAACATTTTTGGATTGAGTTGGTCACAATTTTTTCACAACCTTCACACTAGTTTGAATAAAAAAATATTATTCCATGATTTATCGTATTGATTTTTTTATGTTATTTTAATGCCCACATTTTTCATTAAGAACCTATGTATGTCAAAACTTGTTCCTTAACGCATTAATTTGGGGGAGAGAGAGAGAGAGAGAGAGAGGACTAGAACTTACGTGCGTGCACATCTATATTATATGGAGCTGCCGAGAGTATCCATATATATAAAACGTCAGCGTACTACAAGGAAAGCTCTGATCTCCTTCAATCTCACAGAAATAAACAACCTTGTCCAGTTTAAGTCATCCCCCCCGTAAAAAGACTTCATCCACCTCTCCCTTCGTTTCGTTATTTTTCTCTCTCCTACTCAGGTTGCGTTCCTTCCCTTGAACTGGAGTGTGGGCTCCCGGGGGGAGATAACCTCGCACCTGTAGGTCTCTCTTCGTTGGTTGGAGGGTTGCGTGGGGAGACGCCTGGTCCCGGGTCGTCCAACTAACCCGAGCAGACCCTAAGTTTTCATTATCCCACCGGCCCCTCACCAAACCTGACCTTCCCTCCCTTCAAGCCCAAGTCGGCCGCCAGCCTCCGCCTGGAGTCATCGTTCAGCCAACGGCGTAGTACCCAACTGGAGTCGAAGCCCTTTCTATGCAATAAATCTTCTGCGGTTCGCTGTACAGGAGAAGGGGAGGAGCCAGCCGGCATGAAGGAGCCGCCGTTGAACCCAGGGAGAGGGGAGGAGACTTGCAGCCGGAGAGGGCCATGGAGGACATCGTCAAGGTGTTCTTCAAGTGCACCAAGTGGCAGAGAGAGGAGACCTCTGACCCGCTGATCTGCCCCTACAGCTACTTCTGCGACAGCGTCTACCCGGGGGACTACTCCGCCGCCGTTGACGTCTCAATCTTCCTCCTCTCCGCCGCCTCCTACGCCTTCGCCGTGGCCGCCACTTTGCTGGATTTGGCGGGAGAATCCCCCGCCGTTGACTGGACCCAGCGGCTGAGGGTTCTTCTCCCGTCCGGGCCGGTCGTCCTCCCGGCACTGCTCCTGGCCCTAGTCAACGGCCACCGGACCGGCGCCGCCATCCCGCTCTCCAGCATCGGGCCGGCGTTCTTCCAGCTGGTTCTCCTCTCAGCCCTCGCCTTCGAGAACCCGCCGGAGAGGACCCTCCGACACGTGCTCCTCGTGGTCTCCAGCATCTCCGGAATCCTCCACGCGAGTTTCCGGCTGGATGCCGTCATCTTGCCTTACTACACCGGGCTGGACGCCCTACTGCGCTCCACGCTCTCCGGCGAGTGCCCCACCTGCGTGTGCCGCCAAGAGGCGCTGGTGGTCGGCGGCAACCTTGTCTCCTACAGAGGGTGGTCGACGGCGACGTTCGCCGTCGCCGGCACCCTCTTGTGCAGGTTCGGCAGCTTGTTGTGTGGTGAGGAGAAGATAGGTGTGGCGGTGAAGTCGGCGGTGGAAGCCCTCGCCTGGGTGCTGATAGGAAGAGATTGGGTTGACTTTATTGGGGATCTCCCCCCAGGAGAGCTTATGGAGATGGCCGCTCATGTGGCTGTCTGCCTCCTGATGAGCCTCCAGATCTTGAGGAGGGCTTGCTCTCTCTTGGTTTGGCTGGGAGCCATGACCAGTTTGTAACTCTGGACATGGTCACAACCTCTGAGGCATCCTCGCCATGAAAATTGGAAATATTTTTATTCTGCAGTATCATCCTCATCTGTACTTCAAATTTATATATATATATTTTAACTAGCCGTTCTTTTCATTGGGAAAATAACATGCCTAGACATTTTTATTTAACGAAGAAACTGGTAAAATAGCTCAACGAAGGACGGGTTGAGGACTAATGATACCATATATATATATTAAAAATATATTTTATATAATAAAATTGTAAACCAAATATTAATATTCTTAATTTAGTACATTGAGGATGAGGGGTTGAGAGATTCTAAACCAATTCTCCTACGAATATATACATAAATACGCCAAAATTATTTCTTTTTATGGGTTAAAATATCAATATATATATTTTTCTCAAGATGGGAGCCAAAAATCAAACTAAAGAGAAATGCGTGCGTGAATCGGTCACAAAATTTTCAAAGTTAAATTATATGCATATATAAATATCTCATTGTCACTTGTAGATCATGATTAAGACAAGACTTCATCCGGCGTTGACCTGTGAAGATACTCGAGTTCAAGGTATTCGATTCTCAACCACAAGTGAGAAACTTGATTCCATGGTAGGGCAGTGTCACCCTGGCAGCTTCTCTTACAGGCAATAAGTCAACGTTCATCTCAACACAATAGGTCCTTCAGTCACAGACTACGTGAGCCAACCCTAGAAGAAGGTGCCCTCTGGAGGCTGAACCAGCTTCCGGTTGTGAGTCGACACCATCTCCCTCCTCAATTGGGTCAATATGTCCTCCATCGTGTAGTCCCTCTGCCAAGTCGCCAGGATGCCAAATTTTGTGGGCTCAACCTGCCAAAGTTCCGCGCAGGGAAGGAAATTATCCATCAAATGTACATCCAAAAAAAGATGCAAAATCACCTAGAAAAGCTTTTTATGCCAATAAAGGCAATGAACTTATGAAAAGATAGAAGAATTACCACACCAGTCTCATGGTTAACACACGCCATGTTGATCCGCGAGTGGAACCGAACGATTGGAGGCTTATCAGGATAATCTTTGTCACAGAAGAGCTTCAGCTGGTAGATGCGCCCGTCGTGGACAGACTGGAGACAGCAACAGCAATGGCAGATGAGAGGGAAGTCTGAAGTCTGAAGTCTGAAGTATTTCGGAGAGTATAGAGAACCATGCATTACATTGTGGGGTCCGATGATTGTGCCAGTCCAGGAGCACATGAGGATGTCCTCTACGTCATCCATTCCATAGCTCACAGACCCATCGCCTATGCCCTTCTCTCCCCGTTCTAGTTCTTCAAGCAGTCGGAAGTTCCTCGGAACTACAACCAGATGGAGAGATACAGTGAGGTGAAACACTTTCTGATGATGAATGAAACCATCTAATCATATATAAATCCTTTTAGTGCAAACTTCACCTAACAATACAACAATGTGCGATTAAAAACTTGGCAAATATTTCTACTTTATTAGATGCAGATATTCTATCCAACGTACTTTATTTATAAAATTATTATCTCTAAAAATGTCTGAAATTCATGTTTCTTCTGTATGCGGAAATTCACAGCTAAACCTTTGCATTTATTTAACCATAATTTGAGCAATTTAGGCTGGTCAAACGGAATCGTAAGTCCCTGAATGGCACCAGGGATCTTCACAAAAGACAACAAATGGGTTCAGACTTGCTCAGCCTCATCTAGGACTGTTTTAACAAAGTCAAAGCAAGAAAATGCATGACTCTATGAAACAGAGGCATTCAATCGAAAATTTGGTTCTACAATAGTTTGAGTATTTACCCTTCGAAATTATGGTCTAGAGAAGATATCGTGTCCATTGCCGATTCCATCATAGAGCCATAATAAGAAAGTCTAACTAGAGCACCAAGCCTTAACAGCTTTCTTCTAGATATTGCACACTATGCAGAGGCCAGCGCTGTAATGCACTCAACGCTTTCAGGAAAAAAAAAAAAAAAAAAGCTTTATTGACCACTCAACGAATCCTGGAGTCTCCTTCGGACCACTTTGTCTATTCCCGGACTTTTTTCAGATAATATTTCCAGTATCCTGCCTATATAATATGATTCTTCAGACAATATTTCCACTTTGTCTATGATTTCTCAATAGCAAAAGTTAGACAAAGATAAGAAAGAAACCGTTCTATATGAGTTCACAATTTAATCAACTTAGTGTTAAAAAAGTTAATTTGCAGGTCCTTGGAACCAGCATCAGAGCCAAGTCAGCTTCAAGAAGACTAGATGAAGATGCCCACACAAAATAAAATGTGCTCATCATCGACGTCTCTCCCACTGCAACCCCAAGACGTGCAAATCAAATCTTTTCATGTTTACCTTTATCTTCATTGTTGTTTTTGACAGATCCAACTCGATTCAATCTGTTTCTATAATGAAACAAGATGCATCAACAGAAACATGATACCTAACACAACAGCGACAGGTAGATTATTTAACTCTTCATGTTTCAAGAAAGAGAGAAGAAATGAAGGTCACTCGGCGGATTTCTTCCCGTTGACTTAAGGACTTTCGAAAGCAAACCGTCCCAATAAGGAACTACATCAAGAGCTGCAACAAAACTTGAAGGTTTACACGACATTTCTTCAGCTCAAGGACCAGGGCTGTAGATTAGCTAATTGTAGAATCATATTCGAGATCTATCTTTCAAGTTACAGATATCCAAAGGAATGAGAAACATACACCCAGTATGCTAATCTGATGCCAAATTCGAGTCCGAAACATTATGAACATGAATGATGAGTGCTGGTAGAAAGAAAACAAAAGAAAACTGCAAGTACTAGCTAGGGTAACCTCCAATGAAAACCTCAAGCAGCAGGAAGCGAGTTATTGGCTTATTACAATATGGGGCTGTTGTAGTTAGTGTACAATAATGGAGAATTGTTGTCTTACGTATAAACCATCACATTGCATAAAATACTAGGTTATATTTAATATACCTATGCATCTGAACACGACTACATATAACTTTCTAGTATTCTAGAATAAATTATATGAATTAAAACTATCATCGCACAGTAAAGGGCATTAAACAGCCATCCTAGACATAACATAAACCAAATCAAAGAGTGCAGAGGACAATGACGAGTAGACATCAGGATTCAGGACAATGGCGAGTAGATAACAGGATTCAGCCTCACTCACGGAAATGGGCAGCACGGAACAGAATAGCGACAGCCTCAGGCTAAAAGAATTTAGAGACACAACACAAAACTTACTGACAAATGGTAAAGGCACCATCGTGTAAATCTTAAAAAAGGTTATATCAGATTGAAAGTTTGTTTTTTTTTATGTTTCTATACAAGAATTTAGAGAGACAAAACAAAACTTCCCTCTTTGATTCAGATGCAATGGGCCCTTCATGATTTCCCTGCTGAAATATATCCCTCTAGTCAAACAAACAGATTTCTGTATCACCCATTAGAAAAAAAAAACTATATAAATTTTTAATAATTGGTTTGCATGCGACGATTGTCTAAATAGGTGGAAATGGGAACAAGGTTTCAGACTACCTTCTGTCCAAAAACGTTGGCCTGCTATGTGGCAAATTATAATAGGAAAAGTTAGATAAAGAAATAAACTTCACAAGCACGCTTTGATCGGGAATACGATATCTTGGTTTCTTATAGTTAATCTTATTTCTGATAAAAATGACTTAAAGGAGAACAGTTGAAGAAAGTGGGATCAGAATTCGGGCAAGCACTAAAATGACCATTATAGTTGCATGTGTCACTCAAATTAGACTGAAGCCCTCCTTTTTTAACGTGAGACCTGCAAATTGGCATTAGATTGAGATCGAGTCCAAAAAACGCTTGAAACGGAAAAAAAAGAAAGAAAAATGAATGGAAGTTCTCACAGCATGTTAAAAGTAAAAACCTCTGTAATGTATGGCCCATTAAAGTGAAACGATCGAAGCAACCATGAGAGAATCTCTCTCCCTTTTGTAAAGTATAAAAATTATTCAACTTGGGTTCTAGCGTACTGCTTTAGCAAGGAGCGAGGTACCATTCTACTGGAAGTCAGAGCTACATAAATCATTCATTATGGAAAACAACCTTTCGTGCTTCTGACCTCCACATCTTACTATACAGAGTTTACACACAACATTTTTATCCAAACATGCTGAAGAAAAACATTATTAGTTTACTCCAAGCAGCTAAAGAATTACGTATACTCAAAATCATCAACAAGGTTTCTAGATACTAACATTGTTGGCCATTGAAAAAAAAGAAAACGAAATATTAAAAATTCTACATGTAGTTCGGTATTCGTGGTCTGAAATCAGGTCTTCCTGCAAATTAGAGATGACCTATAGGCTTTCGAAAAACGTCACCATCTTCTGATGTTTTCATAGACCATCAGAGGGGCACCTAAATATCTCTCAGCGAAGCAAATTTCCCTGACATAGGCATAAAGAATCTCTTCTGCTCTTACCCTTCTTGCCCCAATAAGAAATTGGTTTCGTGAACCATTGGGGCCCAAATTCGGCATAGTGTACAATGCCATCGAATATCATAGCTAACGTAGCGAATAAAATAACGTTTCAAACGTAAATGGAGAACCTCTTTCCCTCTTTGCAGTAGAAGCGTCCATTTTGAACAGAGCAAGAGAACTCTGGTTTTGGTGTACCGATTGCCCAAGAACAGAAGAAATAAGTGCAATATGAGTGGCATTACATACCAGATTCGAAAAAAAATCCAAAATATTTGGGATTTGCCACTTCCCCTCATCTACCACCGTCAAAATAAAGACAGCCTATGTCCAATGAGTAAACGGGCTTTAGACACGCAAGCTTTCGACATCTCTCACCTACTGATATACCCAAACCAAGAACCGTCATAACCTATCGTCTACTCGACCTCATTACGGCCGCAAGCGAGGGGTAGATCGTCTCATTCCACCCGAACCGCACCGTTGATATAAAACTAACAGAAACAAAACCGCGCTACAAACGAGACCGATGGAATTTCGCTCAACTCAGGGCAAATGAGATTCGATAACTACAGAGAGAGGGGAGCAAGGGCAGAAGGCCGCACCGACGATACCGGAGCCGCCAGCGGCGGAGCCACCTAGAGTCATGAAGCGACCACTCCCTTTCTTCCAACCTTCTGCCTTTATGAGACTCCACTTTCGTCCTCCCACCACAGATGAAGCGAGGGCCGCCGTCTGCTGATCCCACCAACTTGAGGGTAGATCGACACCGTCGGCCGACACAACGGTCGACGTCAAGCAGCAGACCCTTTTCTATTCCCCCAACCCCTTCCACCCAAGTCCTAAGAAAGGGAGCTGACATAGCCTATACGTGGAGCGATTTCATTGGTCCACGAAAAGGCTCACTAACTTGGTGCCTCCGCAACGGGCCGCAATTTACGAAGCCCGGGCCCGGCCCGGTGATCACTTTACCTCTCTTGCCCATCGTAGTAAGAACAGGCTATTCCGATTCTTTTAGCTTGATAAGCCCCGCATGGGTGAGTTGCTTGCGTGAGGCTCAATTAGCGATAAAATTGCTTATTTTATTCGACCAAAAAGGATGAAAAGTGAGAACTCAGCCCGTTATGATTATCCCCCCTGTTATCAAACTAAAAACTCGGTTAATATGAGAGAGAGATAGAGGGTTGTGGTTCTCTGCTTAGCGGCCGTATGTGGCATATGCGGCGGAGCCGGCAAAGCCGCCGCCGATGGAGTGCCGATGAGTGGAGCGGGGAACCTTCTCGCCGCCCGGTATAAAGACTGCACCGATGATCACGCGAGGGAAGAAGTGGAGCGCTGCGAGAGTGAGGAAGGTCCCGCGCTTGCCCCGTAGCCACCCAACCACCCTGCGCGACGTGACGCTCCCACAAGAGAGATCGCGGATTATGTAAAAACGCTGCTCGTATGCTCTGGCTAACTTTCTCTCTGTCTCTCGTTGTCTATCTTTAAGAAGAACGAAGCCCGGAAGCTTTCAATCGCAGCGGCTGTGCTGTGTTAAATTCTCCTAACCAGCTTACTAGTTCTGGGCTCAAATCTCTCGTACCACCCGTCAATTCTCCGCATCCACCAGCCTCCTCCCCTCTCTCGCCCTCTGTTCTTTAGAAAAACTGACGACGAAGATGTCGGAATGATGGTCTTCGACGGTGAAATGCTTGTACTGCTCCACAGGGAGAGGGAAAGGTCGCTCAGTCCCCTGGTTATATGCACAACGATTGGAGTTTTATCAATCTTCACGGAGGACTAAAGAATGGAGCATGAGACAGCGCTTCTCCGGAACGATTATCTTACAGATGGTCTGCTGATTAGAGTCATTTTTGGCGCCTAGCTACACCTTAGATCGTCGTGTAGCCCTCCCCCTCCCCTCTCCCCGGGAGATGCGGCTCTCCAGCCACCCCGGCTGACCCGGTTTACGGCCGGAACGCTCCTACTTCCTCCTTTTCCCTCCATGTCAAAACTCGCTAATCCCGCCTAGCCTCTCTCTCTAACAGGCGCCGCGAATTCTCCGACAGAGAAGGCGGGCCGGAGAGGGGGCAACTATAAAACGGAGACCCCGGGGAGGCTTTCAGCACAAATTCTCCCGCAGGGTTTCATCGAGAGAAGGAGAGGTGTAGAACCCCCGCAACGATGGCGACCAAGCTTCTGAGCGTCGTGGCGCTGTGTTCCGCCCTCTTCGCCGTCGCTGCCGCCGCCGCAGCGGATTCCCCGAGCTTCGTTGTCGAGGGTCGCGTGTTTTGCGACACCTGCCGCGCCGGCTTCGAGACCACCGCAACCGAGTACCTCGCTGGAGCAAAGGTGAGATTAGAGTGCAGGCACGAAGAATCGGAAGAGCTCGTTCACACGGTCGAGGGGACGACGGACGCCACCGGCACGTACCACCTGAAGGTCGCCGACGATCACGAGGACGAACTCTGCGAGGTGGTGCTGGTGGAGAGCCCCCACGCGGACTGCTCAGAGATCAAGACCGGAAGGGACCGCGCCCGCATCCTCCTGACCCACAACAGCGGCCTCGCCACCAACGTCCGTCTCGCGAACTCCCTCGGCTTCCTCAAGGAGGAGCCCCTCCCCTCCTGCGGCGTCCTCCTGGCCCAGTACCAGCTCGGCGACGACGAATGAGCCTCCCCCGCCGCCGCCTCCCGGGGACGACGACCCTATTCCCTCCCACCCCCGCTCTTCCCGCTTCCTCGCTAAGTTAGCTATGGTATCGAAATCCATTGTACGGTACAACGAATATGGGCTCCAATGGTCACGGATCCAATTTCTTATTGACGCAAGAAGGGAGTACCAGAAGAGATTCTTTATGTCTATGTCGGGGAAATTTGCTTCGTTGAAAGATCATTTAGGTGCCCGTCTGATGGTCTATGATAATATTAGAAAATGTGACGTCTTCGAAAGCTTATAGTTCATCTATAAATTGCAGAGAGACCTGATTTCATACTAGGAATACCGAATTACTTGTGGAATTTTTAATATTCCTGTTTTCTTTTGTTTTAAATGGCCAGAAATTTTAGTATCTAGAAAACTTGTTGATCGGTTTGAGTGTATGTAAGTAATTCTTTAGCTACTTGGAGCAAACTAATAACGTTTTTCTTCAGCATATTTGGATAAAAATGTTGTGAAACCTCTGTAAAGTACGATGTGGAGGTCAGAAGCACGAAAGGTTGTTCGCCATGAAGGATCAAGATGATTTATGTATCTCTAACTTCGAGTAGAATGGTGCGAAAGCAGTACACTAGAATTCAAGTTGAGCAATCCTTTTGCTTTACATTAGGGAGGGATTTTCTCTCATGGTTGCTTTGATCATATTAGGTTAATGGGTCGTATATTGCAGTGGTATTTACCTTTAGCACGGCGTGAGAACTTCCATTTTTTTTTCTTTTCTTCTTCTCAAGCAATTTTTGGACTCGTTCTCTATTTAATGCCAACGTGCAGTGATGGATCTCACGTTAAAAAAAGAGGGATTCAGTCTACGTTGGGTGACAGATGCAACTATAGCCGTCATTATTTAGTACTTGCCAAGAATTCTGATCCCACTTTCTTCGAGAACTGTTCTCCTTGAATGAATTTAAACGCAAATAAGTTTTATATAAGAGAAACCAACATCTTGTATTTATGATTAGAGAGTGCTTGTGATGTTTATTTTTAGAGCTAACTTTTTTGCAGTCAAATTTGTCGCATCACAGGCCAACGTTTAGGGACAGAAGGTAGTATGAATTGCTATCATCATTTTCTAACTATTTAGACCATCATCAAGTGCACACCAAGTAATATAAAATTGATATATGATTTTTTTTCTAGTGGGTACTACAGAAATCTGTGTTTGACTGAAGGGATGTATTTTAGCATGGATGTCACTTGTTTAGTATTGATTATTTTAACTCGAATGAAACTCAATCAAAGAAGGAACTGAAAGGAACAAAGAAGTCTAAATGAAGGCATGAAAAAAAAACTTTCAACCTGATATAACCTTATTTAAAAAGTTACATGATAACGGCTTAGTCATTTATGAGTATGTACTACCTTGTTTCTTTGAATTCATTTAAGGTTGAGGCTGTCATCAATTATGTTCCTTCCTGTCCATCTCCTTGAGTGTGGCCTAAATGATAAGCCTCTATGTACTTATTTTAGAAGGGAGAAGACCTCAATCTAATTGTAAAATAACTGAACATAAGATTATAAGGAGCTCTTAACAGACCAGAGGATAATTTGAACTTCTTTAAGAGTGCAGAAAGGCTACCTCAAAATAATTAAGAGTATAAATAAAGGAAAGGAAAATAAAGGCAGTACCTTTTGGAGAAGTCGATTTGAGTTCCTGGGCAGTCGAGCAAAAGCCTATTTTTATCCTCGATTTGAGGTATTTGAATCTAATTTCCTCTTATCTCTCCCCTTTCTCCATCTATATGACTTACTTTAGACATTGTCTTTATCCTTTGTATTCACTAAGCCCTAATTTTCATTTGGAAGTTGGAGTCTTATCACTTGGTATTAAAGTCACCCTTGACCATTTTTGTATGGTACAATGGCACACAATTATGAAGATGGAATATACAAACACTCAAAGAGGAGATCAAAACTATGAAAGAAATCTTACAACAACTAACTCATCAACTGGTGATGCTGATGACATGCTTACCCCAAGATGAGAATGCAAATCAGCATCTTACCTCTTCAAAATTAAGAGCAAAGTGCAAAAAATTATAAGTCAACTCACATATTAGATCTACTAATCTTCAATGGGACAATCTAGAAGGATGGTTACACAAAGCAAAAAGACATTTTTGCATAAATCAAACACTAGAATGTGATCATTTAGAATTGATAATGATTAACTTGAAAGGAGATGTAATGGATTGGTAGTTATGGACGGAAGATTATTTTGTTATTTCAATATTTGTATGATTTAAAAATAGAGTTCAATAGTTGATTTGGATCATCAGCTTCCAACAATATATATTAGTGACTTTTGAACTTAAAAGCAAGATGGTTCAGTCCTAGAGTACATATTGAAATTTGAAAAATGCTTAGCTTATCTTCCCAATATGCCGGTGAAAATATTAGAACATACTTATCTAACGGGACTCAAGTTTCAGATCGAATCTGAATTATCAATGTCCTGCTGATTAATTTAAGAGATACTTCGTGTAGGAATAAGCACAGATATATACTCTTTGGACTCTTCATGTAGGTAGAAGCACACACATGCTCTTTGGACACTTCATGTAGGCAGAACCACACATATGCACTCTATGCCAAGCATGGAAGGAAGAACAATTAAAGCAAAAAAAGTTTAGTTTGGCCTCATATAATCCTTAGTAGATAAAGATCACCTTGACATCTACTTTTGACAATGATCATAAAATCATTGTAAAGTTCCTATTTCATCAATTCTTATCCCTAATAAAGACTTGACAATGATATCAAATCATCAAAAATAGGTCACCAATAGAAGAAATCAAAGACATCTACAACTGATTGAAGTAGAATTATAGGAAAAGAAGAATAAATGACTATGCTTTTACTACAATGAATAATTTAGGCCACATAGATGCAATTGAGACATCCTCATTATACATGAGGAAGAGAAAATTTAAAAAGACTTACAAAAAGAAGATTGGTCCTCAATAGAATATTAGCTATAGGAGGAAGCTACCATATTCATAACATGCGTTTCTTTAGATTCTGTCATAGGCTTGATTCAACATATTACTTTGAAAACAAGAAGAGTACTACAAGATAAAGAAGTCACAATTCTCATTGATACTAGTGCTACCCATAAATTTTTCTGTAATAAATGATTGAAAGAACTATTCTTATTAGTCAGCAAATTCCATAACTAATGTGTATTGATGGATAATGGCCATATTGTATAAGAAAATGAGATCTGTCATAATGTTCTATTGAAAATTCAAGAGCTTTTAATTATTCAAGACTTCTTACCTCTAGATCTTCACAACCAATGTAATTTTCAGGATAAAATGGCTAAAGAATCTAAGATTGATACATTCACATTATAAATATCTGATCAAGAAATTCATGATCAACAATACTATTCAAATTATCAAAAAAGGAGCAAGTTTGAACAAAACAAGTATATCCTTAAAAGATGCTAAGTGAGAATTAAATAAGACGCATGTTTGTGTGATGGAATTACGACTGTCAAGCAAAAAATATATGACTTTGATTATCACAAGAAAAATCAAAGACTGAGCTTCGATTACAAAAATAATTTCCTTTGATTTCTGAACCACTCCCAAGGCTTCCTTTAAAGAGAGAAGTTGACCATTGTATCAAATCTTACTCTTAGAACTCAACGAATAAATTTACAATCATATCGATACTCACAAATTTAGTTGAATGAGATTGAAATATTGGTCCAACAACTATGCACATTAGGTATTATTTAGCCGGCTAACAACCCATATGGTACTCCAATATTATTAGTTGAGAAAAAAGATGGAAGTTGGCAATTTACACAACCTATATACTTTAAACAAAACAGTATTTTGAATATTTTCTTTATCCCAATCATGGGAATTACTTGAGGAACTAGATAGAATGATATTTTTTTCTAAATTAGACTTGAATTCTAAATATTAAAAAATTCGAATGAAGAGAATTGACATTCTCAAGATAGTTTTAAAACCCAAAAAGGCCACTATAAGTTCAAGGTTATGTCATTTAAGTTTTCAAATGCTCTAGCCACCTTTCAATATTTGATGAATGAAATTTAAAGGGCATATCTCAATAAATTTTTATGAATATTATTTGATCAAATCTTAATATATAGCTACATTACAATTGAACATAAAGAGCATATAGAGAACATTTTTTATTTTCACAGCCAACAATATATACATAAATACCAAAAAGTATCAGTTCAATCGACACAATTATAATATCTCGACAATTGGATCTTCTATTGAAGAGATATCTACAGATAAATGGAAGAACTCAACCATAGTGGAATGGCTTATACCTAAGAATCTAGATATATTACGACATCCTAGCTTTTGACTTGATTATTGAATAAGAATTTATTTCAATAGAATTAAAAAACTCAAGCAGTTTTGAGAAGCTCAAGTCAACAATGACTTATACTCTTGATATTGGCTCTACCTCATTTTTCACATACATTAACAATTAAAAAGATGTTTTAGGGCAAGGAGTAGGGGAAATGTAACAAGGAAGACTAATTATCTATTTTGTCATGTTTTTCTTGAAATTTTTTGATTAAAGTAAGCCTATGAGAGAGAGCAAATAGTTATTGTAATGACAATGAAAAAACATAAATAATATCTTATGTTTCCACCAATTATTATTCTAACATATTAGTATAGCTTAATGATGTACACTTATCATTGTGTTTAAGTATTTAGTATCTAATAATATTTATGACAGACTTAATAAGATATTAGTCTCAAGTTGAAATAGAAAAGTTATTAATTCATCATGAGAAATTAATTTAGTTTATATGTAGAGAGATTTAAATATTTTATCACTATTTAACAGAAAGAATTAAATGAGTGAGAAATAAAATGAATAAAGAATGTGAAAAAGGGAGGGAAAGAGAGAGAGAGAGAGAGAGAGAGAGAGATCTCACGAGATGGAGATAGAGA